AGAGATGCCATGGGAACATATCATGCAAAGATGGGCTCAATAAAGGACAGAAATGGTATGGACCTGACAGAAGCAGAAGATATCAAGAAGAGGTGGCAAGAATACACAGAAGAACTGTACAAAAAAGATCTTCACAACCCAGATAATCACGATGGTGTGATCACTCACCTAGAGCCAGACATCCTGGAATGTGAAGTCAAGTGGGCCTTAGGAAGCATCACTATGAACAAAGCTAGTGAAGGTGATGGAATTCCAGTTGAGCTATTTCAAATCCTAAAAGATGATGTTGTGAAAGTGCAGCACTCAATATGCCAGCAAATTTGGAAAACTCAGCAGTGGCCACAGGACTGGAAAAGGTCAGTTTTCATTCCAATCCCAAAGAAAGGCAATGCCAAAGAAAATTCAAGTTACCACACAATTGCATTCATTTCACACACTAGCAAAGTAATGCTCAAAATTCTCCAAACTAAACTTCAATAGTATGTGAACCAAGAACTTCCAGATGTTCAAGCTAGATTTAGAAGAGGCAGAGGAACCAGCCATCAAATTGCCAACATCTATTGGCTCATCAAAAAAACAAGAGTTCCAGAAAAATATTTACTTCTGCTTTGTTGACTATGTCAAACCCTTTGGCTGTGTGGATCACAACAAACTGTGGAAAATTCTTCAAGAGATGGGAATACCATCTTACCTGCCTCCTGAGAAACCTGTAGGCAGGTCAAGAGCAACAGTTAGAACTAGACATGGAACAACAGACTGGTTCCAAATCAGGAAAGGAGTATGTCAAGACTATATATGGTCACCCTGTTTATTTAACTTATATGCAGAGTACATCATGCAGAATACAGTATTGGATGAAGCACAAGCTGAAATCAAGATTGCTGGGAGAAATATCAATAACCTCAGATATGCAGATGACACCATCCTTATGGCAGAAATCGAAGAGGAATGAACTAAAAAGCCTCTTGATGAAGGTGAAAGAGGAGAGTGGAAAAGCTGATTTAAAATTCAACATTCAAAAACTAAGATCATGGCATCTGGTCCCATCAATTCATGGCAAACAGATGGGGAAACAGTGGCAACAGTGACAAACTTTATTTTCTTGGGCTCCCAAATCACTGTGGACAGTGACTGTAGCCATGTAATTGCTCCTTGGAAGAAAAGCAATGACAAATCTAGACAGCGTTTTTAAAAGCAGAGACATTACTTTGCCTAAGAAGGTCCATATAGTCAAAGCTATGGTTTTTCCAGTAGTTTTCCAGTAGTTTTACCAATATGAAAGCTGCACAATAAAAGAAGACTGAGTGCCGAAGAATTGGCGCGTTTAAACCATGATGCTGGAGAAGACTCTTCAGAGTCCCTTGGACAGCAAGGAGATCAAACAAGTCATTCCTAAAGGAAATCAACCCTGTTGCTGAAGCTGAAGCTCCAATACTTTGGCCGCCTGATGTGAAGAGCTGACTCACTGGAAAAGACCCTGAGGCTGAGAAAGACTGGAGGCAGGAGAAGGGGCCGACAGAGGATGAGATGGTTGGATGGTACCACCAACTCAATGGACATGATTTTGAGCAAACTCTGGGAGATGGTGGACAGGGAAGCCTGGCATGCTGCAGTCCATGGGGTCTCAAAAAGTCACACACATCTGAGCAACTGAACAACAACAACGTATATAAAATAGATAACTAACAAGATCCTGCTGAACAGCACAGGGAACTATTACAATATCCTGTAATGAATCATAGTGGGAAAAGTATGCAAAAAGAATATATGTGTATAACTGGATCACTTTGCTGCACAGCAAAAAGATTATTTCTAATTACACACTAGCCTATCTAAGGTGTTCTAGGCAGAGCTGGAATGGGGTAAGGGCTCTGTGCCCAGAATTCAGGCTGATCATCCCTCACCCTGCACAGAAATATCCAGCCACCAGACTGAGTTCTACTAGCCAGAATTCAGTCACATGGCTGTATCTAACTGTAGAGGATATTGGGGAATATAGTGAACTCGTGTGTCCAGGAAGAAGAGAAAACAGGTTTTAGTGAACACCTAGCAGCCTCCACCACAATCCCTAAATGCTAATCATTTTTACACCCAGAAAAGTCTCTGGTTTTGACTTCGCGAAAAATTTGATTTACACCTCACACACAGTATGCATGAGTGTAACTTTTTTTTAAATTGAATCCTTATGTTTTTGAGATATATATTGAACTATGTATCAGTGAAATGATATGATGTCATGGATTTGCCTCAAAATAATTTGACAATAGAAAGTGAGAGTAGAGATTTGGTCACAAGTTTTGTTGAAGTTGGTTTATTTATTATACCCTCTTTACTTTTGTATATATTTTTAAATAATAAAAACATATTTTAAAAGACTATACTAAAACTACCCTTTGCTATCTTCTAACAGTTTTAGTAAAAAAAAAAAAAAAACTGTATCTATAGAGAGAGACAGAGAGTGAAAACAATAAAATCCTGATCATAATAGACTACAAGATTCTCTTCAGTTATATTAACTATAGGTGTTCTGGCTTGTTAATTTCTCTTATTTTACCCAGCTATTCCAAACAAGCCTGTCTGCAAAAGAAAAGGACTAATAATAAAAGATAAAATTTGTGAAAGAATAGTATAATCAAGACAGAAGAATTAATATTTACAGATCAGCTACTTATAGTAGGAACAGTCTAAGGGGCGTTAATTCATTAAGTAAGGTCTGTATAAAAACCACATGCTGCATCCATTAAAGAAACACGGACTGAGCATCTACTCCATGCAAGGCTCTGTGCTCAGCTCTAGAAATATAATGAGAGGAGGCAGCTGTCCCCGTCTTGAGGATTGTACTTGTCAGGACAGGCTGAACTAGCTGCGTGGCAAACATCCCCAAATCACTGTGGTCTTGAACCAAAAAAAGTGTATTTCTTGCTGCACAAGCTTACATGCAGGCATTCCTGGTGCAATAGCTCTCTCTTGAGCAGTAACTCAGAGGTTTGGGCTCCTTCCACCTCAAAGTCCTTTGCCTACAGAAAGCAAAGATAGATGGTGACTTAGTGTTTAATGGCCAGGTCAGAAAGTGGCAGAGCTCGCCACAGTCCCACCTAGACCCAGTGCTGCTGGAAAGTGTTCTCTAGTTGTGAACAAAGGAAGGAAAAAACAAAACTGGACCCGGGGTTACAGGAGATGTGCTCTGGAATGTTCTGCCACAAAGGTGATCCAAGTCTGGTATAAAGGCAGACACACAGACACATTCTACTAACGCATAGTTAGATCAATAATAAAAGATATGAATAAAGTGTTGTGGAAACTCTTAAGCAGGTAGGATTTTAAAAGTTTCCATTAACTGTGGGTATGATTTCCTAAAGGTGCTCAACACTTAATTTGCTCAGGCTATTAAATTTACAATTCTTTTTCACAAACTTGCAATCCAGTTTTCCCTAACTCCTCAAAAGCAGAGCACTGCCAGTAGCCTTGTTTAGCAACAGTCATCACAGGGATGGAGGTTTATCAATACTAGTTATGTGTGCTTACTAGAACATAAACTCACCTGGAATTTGGATTTCACAGCATGCAAGAATTTTAATAGGATTCATTCATACATTTGTTCGACATTTTATACAGACTTTAGTCCCCAAAATTCAATTTACAATTTTTACAACATTTTACAAAGACTTTGATCTCCAACTCTCCTTTTACACATTTACAAGAATTTACACTCGCTGCAAGGATTTCTTTCCAACGTTTTTGTACAAGTTATTTTTCCTAGGATCCAAAAAAATGTTCATTTTAGATGAGAGGAGAGGCATTGAGGCTCACATGTGGAGATTGTGTGTGATGGAAACACAGGATACAGCAGAAGTGCCTGGATTCTAATTTAGACCAGCCTGCCTCAGGCAATGGGAAAGTCATTTGTCCCTGTATGCCCACATCACAGTCTGGCACGATTGGGGGTTACAGCCAGCCTAAACTCTCTCTGGATACAGGATTCCAGTTTGCCATCTTAATTTACACATTCCATCGATGTGCTGATTAGCCTGGACTCCCTCACATTTTTCTAAGTGATTCTAACTTGGAAACACACAGGAGGATCCCTGTGGGATCTCAGAGCCGCTGGGATCTCCTCTTTGATCTCCCATCTGAACCCGGGACCATCTATTGTTTCAAATTCTTCCTCAGCGCTCCGGTTGACAATTATTGGCATTTTAGAGCCTGCAGATCGCAATAGGATGCCTAACAGGACCTGCTGCCTAAACATTTAAAGCGCTCCCTCCCTCCAAACATTGCCCCTTCTCAATGTCCTCCCCCTCCGCCCCGCCCCCGCCCACCAAACACACAATGACTGAAAGAAACGGAGTGCTTTAAGAAGCTGTTGATGTGTTAGTAAGATGCTAGAGTTGGTTAGGATTTTAAAGATGCTCACGAAGCCTCTCCAGAGCAGTAACCAGCTCTTCTTGCCCCTGACACAAAACCAATCCGTACACCAAACTTTGGGCTCCCCCGGTGGCTCAGTGGTAAAGAATCCGCCTGCCAATGCAGGAGACACACGGATTCCCTCCCTGGGTGGGGAAGAGTCTCTGGAGAAGGAAATGGCAACCCACTTCAGTATTCTTAGCCTAGGCAGTCTCACGCACAGAGGAACCTGGCAGACTACAGTCCACGGAGTTCCAAAAGAATCGGACACGACTTAGCAACTAAACAACCAAATACTATACTTTAACCATCGCTATTTACTGCAAAATGCCAGGGCGAACACCAACACCCCCACCCCCGTGAACTTTCATAATGATAAAAGTGCTTTTGGTCTTAATTTGGGTAAGACTTGGCTGAGGTGCCTTGCGTAAAGACAGGAACTCTCAGAAGGTAGTTGATTTAAGAATCTTGCTTGAGTTTGTAAGGATGGGAGCGGGGGAAGGGGGCGTGTCGGAGAGAAAGGTTTGTTTGTTTATTTAATTTCAGTCCCCAGGGTAGAACCGAGAGGCTCCACCGCCGGGACACTGGAATCCAGGATGCGAGGTGCGCTTGGAAATTGGGTAAATTTGGGAACGCCTAGGCTGAAGGTTCCGCTCGCGGGGAGGAAAGGACGGGGCGGGCACAGGGGAGGAGGCAAGGAGGGACCCGAGGGGAGGCGGCGGAGGAGGAGTATAAAAGGCCCGGGCCAGCCCGGGCGCCCGCCACTCCGAGCCCCTTGGAGAAGGCGGGCGTCCGGGCAGGATGCGCTGCGCCGCTGCGGTGAGCTGAGCCCAGCCCCGGACCCGGCTCTCTCGTGCATCCGAGGCGAGGACCGCGCGCCCTCTGCTCGACCCTCGAGCCCTTCTACCGGCCGGCTGTCCCCTGCGAGGCATGAGCGGCGCGCGGGAGCCCGAGGTTTCAGCGCGGTCATGAGACGCTGGACCGGGAGCGGCAACTGGGCGACGGCAGCCCCCAGGGCCCCTCCGGGCGCGGCGCCTCCGGGATGAGCCCCCCGACCGGCGCCAGCCTGAGCTGAGACTGGCCCCCATTGCCCCACCTGCGCCCTGTGCGCCCGAGCCGCGGGCACCTCACCCCTGCCGCTTCTTGCCGAGACACCTGCGCGCTGGACCAGACGGACGCCCGGCGAATCGGACTCGCCTCCCTTCCCAGGCTCTACCCACCGCCGCAGGCGCCTGAGCAGCGGCGCTCGGAGAGCGGGCGGCCCACTGTCCGGGAGCGAGTGTCAAGACCTTTCTGGAACGACCCCGTCTCTTCCCCCTCGTACGTAGGCCAGCTGCAGGGAGGGGCGCACAGTCGCCGGCAGACACCTGGCTGGGCCGGCGCCCTCTCGGTTCTCCATCATCACATCTCCCAACTCCACTTGTCAATAAAAGTTTCCAACCTCGCCCAGGCACCCCCACCCACCCACAGCCCCGAGCCTCGGCGCGCGCGGGGCTCTGACCTCGCCGGCCGCAGCGACCTCGGCAGCGGAGGCGCGCGCTCGGCGCAGCCCGGCAGGCGGACGCGGACTCCGGAGGGGCTCGCGGGTCACCTCCAAACACTGACAGCCCCCGTGCACGGGGCCCCCGTCTGGAGCCGGCTCTCCCGAGGACTCTGCGGCGGGGCGGCGCGGCCCGCGGCCGGGAGGAGCGCGGGGAGGAGGGGAGGTGGCTCGTCGGGTGAGTGGCTACGGGCGGCAAGGGCGGGGGAGCCAAGCGTGGAGGTAACTGCGGGCCGCCGCTGAAGCCCTCCTCCTCCTTCTCCTCCTCCTCCTTCTCCTCCTCCTCCCGCTCCCCGCGCTCCTCTGGCGGCCGCTCCCGCTCCAGCTGCGGCGCCGCGGCCACATCTGCGGCGCCCATGTGCGCTCGGGGGCTCGGCTGCGCCCGCCCCGCCGCCGCCCCCGCTGCCCGCTGCCCGCAGGGTGGGCCCCGGCCCGGCCCGGGCCCCGGGCGGCCCGTCGTCCCCGCCGCCGCCGCCGCCGGGGAGCGCCGGGGTTCGCTCCGCCGCCGGCTTGGACGCCCCCGGCCCCGCGGTGGCTCCGCCGTGGTGCGGCGGCGGGGAAGGCGGTGGCGGCTCCTGCTCCCCGGGCCTGGCGCGCCCCGCCGCAGCCAGCGCCAGTGCCGCCGGCCCGGGGAGCGGGGCCCCGGCGGGGGCCGAGGCGGGACCCGCGCTGCCGGACTCCCGGGCTCCCACTCCTCCTCCCCCGGCGCCGCCGCCGCCGCCGCCGCCCGCCGCGCCGGGTCCTAAAGCCGCGCGTCTGCGGAGGATGGTGCGCCTGGCGGCCGAGCTGCTGCTGCTGCTGGGGCTGCTGCTGCTCACGCTGCACATCACGGTGCTGCGCGGTTCCGGAGCCGCCGACCGGCCGGACGCGGCCGCGGCCAACGCCAGCCGGACCCCGCTGCAGGTGAGTGCGCCGCCGGGCAGGGGCGCGCGTGGCGGCCGGGACCCGGTGGCGGGGTGCTGACCTCGCACCTGAGAGGAGCGGGGAGGCGGGTCCCCGCCCCATCACAGAACAGCTGTTGGGGCAGTAGTTGGGCGGGGGCCACCGGTCTCCAGCCTGCACGGAGCGGGCTAAGTGCTTGGAGGCTGAACCGCCTCGGAGGTCCGGCGGCACGCACCTCCGGGTCTGTCCCCAGGTACCTGAGGCTGCGAGCGCGAGACGGGCGGCGGAGTGTGGGGCATGTGTCGGCTTTGGGGCGCTCCCAGTCTTTGCTTGCCCTTCAGAGGCGAAGTGATGTTATTCTGAGAGGCGGGGGCGGGGGGAGGAGCGGAAGGAGACTTCAACTTAGGACAAACCCCCGCACGAGGTCTGGGAGGAAGAACCCGGTTGAATCTGCCAGCTCAGAAAACAGTGCCAAAGGTCAGGAAATAATTTCCCCGAAGAAAGCATCCCTGGTCACCCACGTGGTCCCCGAGCCACCCTTGTACCTTCCTAGCCTGCGCAGGGCGCGGAGTCAAGCCACCTGTTCTACTCTGAGATGGCATTACCTGGGGCTTTAAAAGCTGACAGCAAAAGACTTCTTCCAGCGTTCTGCCGCTGTTGAAGGTCGCCTTAGGAATGGAATTCTGGAATTCTGATGGTCTGTGCAGCTCCAACACGGAGCGTGGGGGGCGGCGGGGGCGGTCACAACTAGCGAGGGAAATAGCGGGCGTCAGACACAGGATGGATTTTCCGGTTTCCAAATAAAGGGTTGCCCAGGTAGGGATTTCCTGCCGCTCTCTTGGAAAACACCTTTCCGTGGGTCTGTCAGAGGTGTTGACAACTGTCAGCTTGGGGCATGAGTAAAGATGTCAGCAGGGATTTCCCCAGGAGGCAGCAGGAATTCACTCAAGCAGCATCTCTAAAAACCCTGTACTCTGCAATGTCCAGATAAGCATCGTTCATTGTTGTCAAAGGGTTTTAAGATCATTGTACTGTTAATTCTTTGCTCACATCTTTATGCAGTGTGTTGCCTTAAAACCCTAGTGTAGAGAGAATTCCCTTAAATACTTCCAGAGTGCTTTGCATGTGCTAGTTTTAAGTTCTTTGCAGAACTTAACTAATTTAATGATGTACTATATTGTTAATATCCCGACCACCCCCTGCATAGATGCAAAAACCGAGGTACAGAGGTTAAGAAACTTGCAAAGTTTACACATTCCAAACTCTTGGTTTGTTACACCATGTTCTCTCGCTGGCAGGATGTTGTAGACTAAAGCAAGGTGATCTTTACACAGGAATGTAAAACCAGGAATGAAAAAGAATGCACCACAGAGCCTAAAGTTCTTTTAACCTGGGGACATTTCTGAAAATGTCCTAATTTTGTTAGGTCCTCTCCTCTCCTCCTGTGGGCAAACAGGTACAGTGACAGCCTGACCCAATCTCTTTGGGGAAATTGAAGACACCCATTCTATAGATGGTGGTACACCCACCCACTGTAACACTGGGAACAATGCCTAATATCTTCAAGAATTCTGGAAGTCATATTTTATACATGATGCTTTCTTTCCTCATGGACTCATGAAAAGCTGTAAAAATGATGTTCTATGGAAAAGTAAATTTGGCAGATTTTTTTATGAGGTGTTTGCTATCATTAGAATAACCTAGGCTTGGCCTTTCCCGTTTGAATGTTAAAGTGATGAGAGAAGCAGCTGGTGGAAGTGGCAACTGCAAAGGGGAAGTGGATTAAACTCTCCAAAGGGCCAGGGGCTGAAGAACTATCCCAGCAGGGCAGAAGAAATGGGGGATCTAGAAAGCATAAGGCTCTTAGGAGTAGCTTGAGTCCCAGGTAGCTGATAATCCATCAGCTTTCAGCTTATCTTGTAATCGTGTTTGGTTATTCTGTCCACTCAATTAACTTACTCAGGCAGATTGATGAGTTTAACAGTTTAGCTCATAATTTTACTCTCTTTTGTAGTTTGTTATTGTAAAAGTTTTATATTCTTCCTGATTAAAGTTGTTCCTTTGGCCCTCTGACTCTCAAAAGTATTACGATTCAACTGAAGAGAGTGTATTTGGCCAAGTGAGGAGGTCTGCAAAGTACGCTTATTAGTCTGTGGTTTTCAGGGTTCAGGATGTGACTTCACTAGTAGCAGGTGTATTTGGAAACAAAACTGTGGGTACTGTATTCTTTCTGTTTACTGGTCATGTTTAACCCATCTTAAACTGCATTTAAACTTAAATGTGTTGGCTCTGGGATAGCTTAAGCTGCTAAAAATCATTCTTTGCAATCCAAAAGTTCATCAGTCTTTATGTTACATTATTTTTATCTCTGCTTAAAATATTCTAAAATATGAGGTTGGAGTCGGAAAGACACAATGGTTGCTTTACGTACCCAAACAGTAGTTTATTGGGGAATATTTATTATTTTTTAGACTGGGGTATTTTAGTTGTTTTCAATGTCGTGTTAGTTTCTGCTATACAGTGAAGTGACTCAGCTACATGTATACATGCATCCCCTCCGTTTGGGATTTCCTTCCTACTTAGTCCACCACAGCACGCTGAGTAGAGTCCCCGTGCTGCCCAGCAGGCCCTCGTTAGTTATTTATTTTATACAGAGTAGTGGATATATGTCCATCTCAACCTCCCAATTCTTCCCTCCTCCTTTTCCCCCTTGGTGTCCATGTATTTGTTGAAGGTCGAGTGTAGTGTCTGTTCTTACCAGTTTAATATTTGGGAACATTTACCAGAGACGCATCTTTGTTTAAGATCTGACATATCAAGGGCATCAAATAGAAGTAAGAATAACAATAGTAGCTGAGATCTGTCAAATGTCTTTCATGTGTCACACACTGTTCTTAGCACTTCTCATATGTTTTCTTTTTAAATCCTCACGAAAATCTCATGAGTTAGGCAATATTGTTGTCCCTGTTTCAAATGAAAGAACTGAGGTTAGGTAACTTGGCCTGAGGTTGCAGAGCCAGAAGCTGCTTAATTTGTTGTTATCTCATGAGTGTAAAAATCTTTGAAGGATATTTGTGTACCAAGTTCTTGATAAAGTATTGCTGGCTACAAAAGAAAGGGTAACAATTTACATTATCAGACACATCTTGACAGTCTTTATTATGTCAAATATGAACATATCTATCTATCTGCATTATGTATACATACACACACACACATACACATAAACATGACTAACCATGTTTTTGTGTGTTTTTTTGGTATTTTCAACATGCTATGCTGTCCTAAGTCACTTCAGTCATGTCCAACTCTTTGCAACCCCATGGACTGTAGCCCGCCAGGCTCTTCTGTCCATGGGATTCTCCAGGCAAAAATACTGGAGTGGGTTGCCATGCCCTCCTCCAGAGTTTCAGCATACTAGGAGATATATTTTTGCCTTTGTGACTATCTCTGTACCCCTAGGTATGCTCTTATGAGGCAGTAGCATAGTGCTGTTTCTATTGGTTATGTGGCTTATAATAATAATAATAAATAAGAATGTTAGTCTTTATACTGTTTTCAGTATTTTAAAATATAAGAAATTTAACAGTTGTCTGTAACAGCTATATAAAAATGCACAGGAAAATCAATTTTTTCACTTTTTTGAATGAAATCTTATCTCTTCTTGTCTCATGTTGATCAGATACTCAGATTAGCTCTTTCATATGTCTTTAATTGATAAATAGTAATAAAACAATTATATATAATCAAAAGCAGCCTGGAAGACAGACTATCCCACAATATAGAACCACAGGCAATGATAATAATGACTGTATCCCTTTAACATGTGTTAGTCACTCAGTCCATCCAGTATTCTTGCCTGGAGAATGCCGTGGACAGAGGAGCCTGGAGGGCTGCTGTCCATAGGGTCGCACAGAGTCGGACACAACTGAAGCAACTTAGCATGCATGCATGCATTGGAGAAGGAAATGGCAACCCACTCCAGTGTTCTTGCCGGGAGAATCCCAGGGCCAGGGGAGCCTGGTGGGCTGCTGTCCATAGGGTCGCACAGAGTCGGACAAACTGAAGCGACTTAGCAGCAGCACCAGCAGTCACTCAGTCACGTCTGACTCTGCAACCATGTCGACTAGAGCCCACCAGCCTCCTCTGTCCGTGGAATTCTCCAGGCAAGAATACTGGAGTGGGTGACCATTCCCTTCTCCAGGAGATCTTCCTGACCCAGGGATCAAACCCAGGTCTCCCTCATTGCAAACAGATTCTTTACCATCTGAACTACCAGGGAAATTCAAATGAGTGCTTCTCTTCTCTACTAAAGCACAGGTTCAGAATCATGAATTTTTATAGATTTTACATAGTAAAGCTAGAATTCATTCAAACAATGCGATTTAAGAAAGTATTTGAAATCATCAAACCAGTCATTTTTTGCAATAACATTAAAGCAAGCCTAACCCTGAAATGCAGCTAAATGATTTTGTTCTCAACTCCTAACCCCCCTCATCTATCTACTTGCCTTCAATAAAACTATTCAGTATCTTGTACTCACTGCTTCAGTCAAGAGTTGATCTGAGCTATGAATAGCAGTAAAAGCAAAAGCAACATTTATTTGTACTTAATGCTACTAAGTTTCTTTACAATGACCCTACCAGATAGATAGTGTATGTATCCTCATTTCACAGATGAGGAAATTGAGACCAGCAGAGATTTGGATAACTTACCCAAGGTCATACAACCATGATGGGCAGGGCCAGGATTCGGACCCAGGCAGGCTGGAGTTCTTGTTCCAGTTCATGAACAAGACTCCTCCAGCTCTGATTCAGCAACCTTTGTGTTTCTTATTTTGTGACTTGCCTTGCCCATTTTCCAGGTAGACTGTGTTCTCTTACCTCAGGAATTCTTTTTAAATCATGGCTGACTGTTCTACCCAACTATTACTACATAATAAATCATCCCAAAATACAGTGGCTTAAAACAACCACATTTTATTTGCTCATGAGTTTGTGTCAGCAATTTGCCCTGGACTC